TTCTGTTTTTTTTTTTTTTTCTATAAAGCTCTAGGAGTCGATTTTGCTTTAAAGAGAGACACAAAGGGCTTGTCCTGGCTGCAGTGGGTGAGCTGTAGGGCTTGTCCTGGCTGCATTGGGTGAGCTGTTGCAGATGACCTTTGGAGGAATTGTGTCGGAGCGCAGGGTTTTCACAGTGCAGCTCACCATGCATCAGGCACATGTAGCCTGTGCCACAACTGTTGTGCCCGGGCGGGGATCCCTCACGCTGCCCAATTGCAGGAGGGCGCTCAGCTGCCCCTGCTTCTCCCTATTTGTCATTTAAGATGATTCCTGGTGCTTTTGGTGAGCGATCAAACGGTGTTCTCAGAATCTTTGGGCCTTTGACACGGAGGGCTGTGTTCTTGAGGGTGTGACATGAGAGCTCCTTGTCTGCAGGGCGTGAGGCTTTGGGTCCTGAGTGTGGACCGCGGCATGTGATGTCTTGTCACTGCTCCCTGCATGGCTGTTTAGTTTCTGGAAAGCTGGAGGTGTAATATTTTTGTTCTTTGCCAAAACGTACTGGTGTATATAAACAGAAGTGGCCAGGTGTGCGAGTCAGCACTGTGCCTGTGTTTATGGTTCTGCATCTGACCGTGTGCCTTTTGGGCTAGTGTAGTGGTTGTCTGAGGTGGGTGCCCGACAGGGCTGGGGGCCTGTTGGTGCCCTTGCTGCTGCTTTAGGGACAGCTTGAAGCAGTGGCCTTACATACCGCTTGGAATTGTGACAAACTCTGTATGCCTCTTACAGGTTTTATAGAACTCTAACCAGTTGCAAATAACTATTTGCCATCCTGAGTATTGTCATTTTAAAATAAAACGATTGCATCACTCATCTAAATAAATCCGGGAAATCTAGGTAGAATAATCTACCATTCTTCATTAAAAATTTCACAGGGCTGAGCGCCATGTCTCACACCTGTACTGCTAGCACTTTGGGAGGCTGAGGTGGAAGGATCACTTAAGCCTAGGGAGGTCGACGCTGCAGTGAGCTGTGATCGCACCACTGCACTCCAGCCTGGGCCACAGAGTGAGACCCTGTCTAAAAAACAATTTCATAGGCAAGTTTTTCCTCACAGAAATTTTATTCTTCCTTTTTCTTCTTAAGCCCATATTTCCATTTACTTTTTTCCCAGAGCATTTTACCCTAATGTAATGTATTTCAGTGTCTAAGAATCTTTATTGATCTATCATGTATCTGCAACAAAAGAAAATAACATGAACGTAAACTTCAACTTTTACATTTTGTATGGCCATAAGATGCTAGTTATTTAGAAGTTTTTCTAGATTGGGTTTTAACAAATTATTAGTACAAACCAACATAAAATAGCATTTTGTTGAAATTTAGCTCTTGACAAGATAGCTGTTTAGTTTGAGTTATCTTTTGATGAGTCAAGCTTTTTTTGTTTTTATTTTTTATTTTTATTTTTTGAGATGGTTCTTGCTCTGTCACCCAGGCTGGAGTGAAGTGGTACGATCTTGGCTCACTGCAGCCTTGACCTCCTGGGCTCAAGCAATCCTCCTGCCTCAGCTTCTCAAGTTGCTGGGACTACAGGCAAATACCACATTGCTCAGCTAATTGTTGTGTTTTTTGTAGGGATGGGACCTCCCTATGTTGCCCAGACAGGTCTTGAACTCCTTGAACTCCTGGCCTCAAGCAGTCATCTCACCTCAGCCTCCCACAGTGCTGGGATTACAGGTGTGAGCCACTGTGCCTGGCCGTGAGCCATGCTTTTAAGCAGAATAAGGCAAGGTTCTGCAATAATGCTGTTTTTACTTTTTTTTTGAGAAAGGGTCTCACTCTGTCACCCAGGCTGGAGTGCAGTAGTGTGATCATGGCTCACTACAACCTCTGCCTCCCAGGCTCAGGCCATCCTCCCACCTCAGCCTCCAGAGTTGCTGGGAACACAGGCATGTGCCACCACAACTGGCTAATTATTTTTAGTA